AGAACAGCTGTAGCCGCAATCACTTAGTCGTATCGGTCGGCTTCTTCCGAGCAGCTTTGACGTGCTTATGCTCATTCATGTCACCACCATCGTCTAGTATCTCTCTCACAGCATCAGGGGACACATAGTCCCAATTATAACTTGTATGAGTAGTTGCCGCGAATGCTCGGAATTTTTCGAATCCTTCGTTGAATGCCAACTCCAGTTCACTGTGGTGCTCTTCGCATCGCATATGGTTCATCAAACAACCTTTAATTTCATCATTCATTACTGCATCCAACTCCTCAGCTTTCAGCTTCCTTTTATGACTCAGCTTCAAGTACTTGTTCTTTTGGGAGAACGCTTTGTTCACTCTAATGTTAAGTTCAGCCAAAATGGCCTCGTCTTCAACACATTTCTTGTGCCATGAATTGATCAGTCTGGAATTATAATCCAGCTTGGTACTGACTGCATCTATTGCCTCTAATGGATCATCGGAGTCCCCCTCACTCGCAAATGATGTTGAAAATGGAAGGGGTTGGCGAGTACAACGTGGAAATGGAACCTGCGACTCCAATTTTTCATCTTCGATAGTGCTGTTGGCGCCTGAAGAGGTTGACATGCTTGAATAATCCTATTTGTTTTAGAGGATGAGGATTGCATATGCAATTTCGTTTGAGAAATAGAACATAGCTTGATAGACCAACATACCAAAGCTTGCGTTAGTCAACATATGTACTTTATTTCAATTTTAAAAAAAGAGGTGTCAGGTTTTGCTTTTCAAGCATGTCAACCTCACACTCTCCTTACACCACTGTTAGTGGTTGAAAGAAACTCAATGGAAGTGACATCTAGTTAGTGAATCCAACCAAACTAACCAAACTAGTTAGGATTAAACTTAGATTGTATGAGACCTTTTTTAATTTATACATTGTCAACCAAATGTTTTTTTTTTTTGCGGGAACCCTTTTTTATTGATATTAGTATTCACCCCTTCATAGAAATTCTCCCTCCACAAAAAACTCACTCCTCCACCGAATCTGTCTCCATCTACTGAAACTCTGTCCTCTACAGAACTCTCTCCCCCCATTGAATGGATTTACTAACGAAGTTTGATGTGAGCATAATAAACACCCCTCCAAACAAAGACCGCCTTCGAAAC